AGCGGGGAACATCCCATCCATGCCCCGGGAAGATTTCAAATCCCGGGCCCCAGGGCAGCAGGCAGAGGAGTGACTGGTCCCAAGGGAGCTCACAGGGATGGGGCCGCAGGGGTTTTACAGCCTGCCCCTCCTTGAATGATTATTAAAACGTTCATTAAAGGAAAATGTACTGCAGCGCCCAGCAGCGCGCTTGCCCCGCAGCCGGGGTCCCTCTGGGGCTCAGCCCTTCCAGCTGACCCGGCCAACGCGAGCTGATCAGCCCAGCTGTGGGTGCCTCGCGTCAGCTGATCCAAACACTGCATGAGGAGAGGGTCAGGTCCTGCGAGGACTTAAAAGTGACTGGTGAAAGAGCAGGCAGCTTCTTCACGCCGAGCTCAACCGGCTGCTCTCAGGGGGATGCTCCAACGCTCCCGCTGTTGCTTCCCCCTGCCCTGCCCAGGATTATTGTCCTGCATTTTATTCATCCCAGAACTTCTGGGTCGGGATTTATTATTACATGAGCATTTCTGGGGCTGCAGAGGCAAAACACTACAAAGAGCACGGATCCCAATTCCTAAAAAAAGCATTCATTTAAAAACAAAACTAGGCAGACGGCAGGAACCGATGCTGCCGAGGTTTTGCGACACACACAGCCCCCCTACCCAAAATCAGAAGCCACCTGTGTGCCACCCCCCCCAGCTCTCGGTGTGGAAACTCAACTCGTCACAGCCTGCAGCGCTCCCCGAGCGGACGGCGCCTCGCTCCCACGACACCTACGTTTTCCTGACAAACGAGTGTAAAACGCCCGGCTCATCCGCCTGGGCACCCCAACAGCCCCACGGAACGGCAGCTCCAGAGCCCCGCCGTGGCTGCTGCCCCCCGAAAGCAGCACCAAGCCCTGCTCCGAGACGGCGATTTACCCGAATTAAAGCTTTCTAAATTCAGGTGATGCAAAGGCAGCGACTGCCTCGATTCCGGCGCCAAGCAATGAGACCGTCTCGTCCCTGGGTTCCAAAGGCCATCATACTCCTGGATGCGTCTCAGCGTATCTTTTATCAGGTGTTGTGTAACAAGGCAAGTATAAAACCACGGTAAATTCGAGCTAAGATCCAAACAGCTGCAGATTTCTGGAATATTCCAAAGCTCAAACCAGGGCAGATTTGAAGGCTAAATGTGTGTGTGTGCAGGCAGGGGTGAGCACAGGTAAATCACTGACGAACCCTACAGTGCAGCAATGCCGGCATTTTTATATCTTACTTGGAGCCACATTCTACAAACATTAAATGCTTTATTACCTGCCTCAGTGAAGTTGGGCATTGGCAAGGTCAGACCACCTGAATTTTCCAGCAAAGCTGATGCCTTATTTTGGCTGCTCCAGACATAAGACCTGATCCTCTATAACCCTCAGCCCCCCTGCCCTCCACACGTAACCGCGGATCACCAGCCCACGCGCGGTCAGGGATGTGTCTCCGCGCAGTAACACGCGCCCGGCTCTGCCGTGAAGGGCTTGGGCAGCGCTGCGGGGGTTAAAACCGCGCCTAAACCCAGAGCTCGGTCGCCCAGCCCTGAACTGCGGGACACATCCTGCACACAAGCACTGACGCTGTTCGGTAAAGCACCAGCAACGTCAGAACCTTCTTTCCGATCACTCACTGCACCAAGACAGCTGCATCATTATCCCTTTCGGGATTTGCCGCCAGCGCAGAACCTGTTTGCAACCCACCTCTATAACGAGATGCGGCGTCCAGGGTCAGCCAGCCCCGAGGGACGGCTCCAACCCCCCTCCCCAAACTTCCAAAGGGGTTTGGGACAAACACTGCGGCTGCTTTGCCGGTTTTATCGCTTAAGGCCGCTGGGGCGAGCTGGCCCGGGTATCGGTGCGCAAGCGGGCTAATCACAAAAGGGGCGGATTTTGCAGTCAAGACTTCCAGATCCTGCGCTGGGACTTTCAGGCAGAATTCTTCATCTTAAATTTTTCCGGCGAGGCCCACAGTTTTAGGACTTGACCTTGTGAAACCTTCAGCTTTCAGAGCAGTAGAAGGGGTTACCGATTGCCTGCGGTTGTCTCTTTGATGCCTCAAGGAGTAAAGAGCCTTGTAACCGATACTTTGGCATTTATCGTCACTTAAAATAGCCTGGCAGTCAGAGAGAGGAACTGCCACACACCGCTCATCTTGCAGGAGGAAGGAGGGCAGCAGTTTAGCCCGGGAAAGGTCACGCGGCTGCTCCGTGACGGGGGGCAGGATTGTGAGACAGCGAAAGCTCCGCTCCAGGTCACTGACAAGTGTTCCAGCGGCCGAGGACGGGTTTGTCTGGACATAAAGGAATTACTCGACCACACGAGCTGCCGCGCGAGGGCAAAGGGCGAGTGACAAGGTCACACCCGTGTCCCCCACCCCACCTCGCTCGGTGCATCTTGTGTCCCCCAGCTGCGCATCCCGCTTGCTCCCGGGGAAACTGAGATTTCTTCTCCGCTCTCTTCCCTTCCCGGCCCCTGGAGCCCTCGGCAGCCGCGGGGCCGGCGGCGGAGCACGGCTCCCACCTAGTGGGG